CGAACTATGTAAAGATGTTCAAGAAAAAATGTTTATTCTGCATTGGAATGACTGGCGTCTTATCTTTCTACCCCAAAAAAGTGTACAATTTCTAAAACTTTCTTAAGTTCGACACTAAAATGCTTTGGTAGATTAATGCCTCGAAAAATATTACTGAACGGGTTACAAGGGTCTTGACCTGTTAATGCAGAAGGTATTGGTTTTGAAAACTTTTACTTCATTATCGAAAGATTCAAGTTTTATGAATTCAGTAAAAAACTCTGGAATTTGGCCTATGTTTTGCCATTTTGACACAAACAAACTCATACTCGGCAGAGTCAAGAACTGGATCGACTGCCATGGATCTCTAGGCTTTTGAACGATCTCGAAGTTTTCAACCCTGATTCGGAATATGACCTTTTTGTCAAAATGTTGAATTTTGACCGGGGAAATGGCAAAATCAAAATTTTGGTTGCTTTTCGGCTGTAATTTTTCAAGAAAAAGTGTGGTAATTGAGAGAATTTGGTGCTATAATATTGTTCAGTGGGTTTGGGGCTGTCATTCAGACTTCGTTGCTTCTTCGTTTGGTCAACGAAATTGTGAAAATTTCAGTGACAAGTTAATTAGTACTTCCGGAGTTGAAACAGCAGGAAAGAACTAGGCAAACAATGCAATGCACTATAGAAGGATTTTGTAAAGCAGATAATTCTCTATCTTCTGAAGTCAGAACGAAGTTTTGGAAACATACGGTATATGAACAAAAGTAGGTACATAAATAAAGCCATCATTTTGGACCATCTTTATTAGTGGGAAAATGTTAGAAAATTTTATTTTTCAACGTGAATTAATTTAATACAGACAGATTCTTTACAAAAAGTACTAGTGATGATAGCTAACAGAAACATTATTATTTTTTTTGGAGTACAACAGTAGATTATAGAGATGAATAAAAAAATATGACGTTACTAAATATGAAACGCACTACAAAAATGATACAGAAGATAAAGTGTTGAATAGGTTAGCTCTCAAACGTTTTTTTGGGATTAATGTTAAACATTCGTGTTCGTTTCATTCATAGAGAAGGGTGATCTCATTTAGATTGCTGTGTTAACTTATAGAGCAGCGAACAAAATCACTGCGTTCGGATTTTGTCTGTGCGAGTGTGTAGTGTGTCTGCATGTGTGTATATATGAGCGTGTTTGTGGTCTCGTTAAATGCATCATAACACTTCCGTTTACGTCTCGTTAAGTAATCTGTGTAATAGATTTTTAACACGTTTTACATCTTTACGGGGAAAAGATAATTGAATTTCCAAATAGTCTAGTGATTTCCTATAACAGTTATAAGCAAGACTTTTGTCTCCATAATAATGAAAAATCTTACCAAATAGTTCATAATTTTTTGAAACAGTACGATTTCTAAGTGTTCTACGTTTGTGGATTACATTCATTGATTTTTTACCATATAACCATGCTTGTTCATAATTCGATTGATAGTAGTAAATAGTACCTATACTATGAAGTACATCTGGATATTCTAAATTTTTTAACTGTGAGCAACTTTCAAAAAGACGCAGCGATTTTTGGGAACAATCTAGAGCTTGATCATATTCATCATTCAGATAATAATACCAGCCAAGATCCTTATAGGAACATGCAAGGCTTTTTTTATCGATTTTCACCATAGTTTCTTGTATATTCACTGATTTTTTTAAATGTTCTATACAAATATTGTATTTTTGCTGTCTAGCATAGCAATATGCAATACAACTATATAACAAAGACATTTTTAGTTTATTATTAGGTATTATGGTTTTCTGTACTGATAATGCTTGTAGGTAATATCGAAGAGAGAAATTATACTGTTTTGCATCGAAATAACAGCAACCAATATCGAAACACAAATCTCCAACTTCAATTTTGTCTTTTTCATTTAAATTTTCCTTCTGCATTAATAACTGTATTCTTTCAAAATGTAGTAATAATAAATTATCACTATCGTTTTTCGTATATAATGCAGTAGATAATTTATCCATTGTCTCGAAAACATCATATTCGAATGAATATTTTTCTAATAATTCGAAGGATTTTGTAAAGGATTTTAACATTAAATCATCTTCGTCATTATTTTTTAGCAAATAGCAATATTCGGTACAATAATTTAAATGAGCCATTTCTCTTTCAGCATTTTTGTTATTTGTTTTTCCGATTATCGTCAATGATTTATTGTAATGTTCAGTTGCTTTAGCATATTGTTTTTGCGGATGGTAACATTTTCCTAGATCATAATGAATAATAGCACTCATTACAGTATTTTCTGATTTTGTTTGCTGCTCAACTTCTAATGCTTTTGTATAATATTGTAAAGATAAATCATATTCTTTAGTTTCAAAGTATATGGTACCGATGAAATGATATATCGTTGAAAATATGGGGTAATTAGTGCTAGAACTTGGTCCATCTCTTGGCGATTCACATTCTAATAAATGTTTTAGTGCCTTAGGATAATTCATCATCCGATGATAAGTTTTACCTATGTAAAAGTGTATATTGACTTTTTCATCATAATTTGATGGATCAAATTCATTATGTATTTCTAAACATTGATCAAGATGTTTAAGAGCATATAAATAGTTTTCTTGTACAAGATGGAAATTTGCAATACTTAAATGAATGCCTGTTACCAATTTCAGATTATCTCCAACAATGCCTTTTAACGCTTTTTCAGAACATTCTAATGAAAGATTATAATCATGTTTATTTAGATGAATATTACCTTGTAATAGTAAATCAAATGAATTCTGCAAATTTTCTCCGTCAGGTATGTCAGTTGATGTGAAATCCTCCGGACTACATTCAGTAGCATGACAAATGCGTTGCAACAAATCAGGAATAAAATCACCATTGATACTTTTTGCATCGTTTGCATACTTTAACGCCAAATCATATTGACCTGTACAATTGTAGATCCCGGCAAGATATACAAAAATAGGATATTTTTCGAATTGGCTAAGAGATGTATGCTGTAAAACGTTTTCAAAATATTCTACTGCCTTGTAATAATGACCCATTTTAATTAAAAAATTTCCATAATAATGATCTGTCCAAAAATCTTGTTGCAATATATAACGCTGTTTTTCAATATAATCATTTTTTAAATACTCAATGTCATCTACACATATCATCGATACAATCAAGATTTCTTTTTCGCTCTTAATAATGTTCTCAATATCAGTAATTTTAAATACGGCACCTAGATCAAATAAAACTTCTTCCTCGTCCATCTTACTAAACTGTGCTATATAAGCATAAACATTATTCTTTGATTCGGTATCAATTGTAATTTGAAATATAACATTAGTCATAAAACATTCTGCTACATCACGTATGCGTGTCGTAGACAAAAATCCATTAGTTGATATATATTTCCCTTTTAACTTTTTTAGCTGTGCAATAGCCGCTGGAAATAAATGGGTACCACGATAAACTATAAATGGTTTAAATAGTTCTCGATACCATTCTAAATTTTCTTCAAATAGTCTTTTCAAATCTAAACAAAGATCAACAATGTAGTATCTCAATTTATATAATATTAACATGTCTTGTGTTCTTAATGCTTGATTAATAATTTTAAACGGAAAATCGGTCTTTGTGTACCATTGAATAGCCAAATACGGTTGAACATTCTTGACTATTGATTCCTTGGAATCTGACAAATCCGTCTGATTGCCTTTTTTTCAACTGACATGATTGTTGGAATGATTTTAATACTTTCTCAACGCCGAAAAGCTAAGAAGAAGAAGAATTTTCTGAATTCACCCGATTCATTTCGTGGGATTCCTCTAAGTCTTTAAATATATCTATGTGGTGTGATGATCGTAATTCTTGATCCATCATTCTTGATAACATAGAATTTTTCGAATATCCACGAATATCATCACTTGAATGGTATGATAACTCAAATTCATCTATTTTTTTTAAAATTCCAGAATCTTTATGATAATATAGACGACAATAGTCGATCATTTCTTGTTTCGAACCCAATACATCCGTATTCATCAGAGTATCACGTAATAATTGATACCATAAATAGTCAACCGATTCATCTTTTAAATCACGTATAGATTTGCTATTTTTCACAAATAAATTAAATATCGATAAATGCTTTAATAGTAAGCATAACTCATTTTGTAACGCTTCGAATAGATCTTTATACTCTACATAGATATCCATTAATTTTGAATATTTATTATCATCAACTAAATCTTGATACAACTGTTTGTTCCTACAAAATATGTAAAACGAGTAGATTTTATCTTTGTTTTCATGATTATGAAATTCTTTTAATATATCACGAGAATATTGACCACATACAATAAGAATTATTTTATTATTTTTATATTTATCTATTGATTTTGTCAATTCATTTATCGTCGTACATAAAATGCAATGATCATGTACTTTTTTTATATCTTTTTCTATTTGAATATCAATCTTCTCAAAAAACCATACAATCGTCACATTTTGGTTTGTTATAGTATCATTTAGTTTGTCAATATATGTTTGTTCTATTTGACGTTGTTTTCTACGAAATCGAAAATAAATATATTTTCCTGCCTTTATAATAACATATAAGGCAAAACCAGCGGTAATTATTTTCACGTAAGGTTGTAAACATATATTAATGAGTAGGTCAACTAATTTATTAATCATAATCATTTTCCTAGGAGACAGAATTGAATGAAATTAATTATATAAAACATAAGAAAACCGACGTAACATATGCTATTATCGAAATTTTAAAAGGCAGAATG